CAGGGCCAACGGCAGCTCGTGTGTCCCACTCTCCGTACAAAACGAGTTTTGCCGTGGCACTGGTCCCTCCATGGGAGGGCGGCAACCGACGAGCCTGGGTCCTTCGCACAGTGTTAAGCTCAGCATCCGAAAAGCCCAAAACCTCAGAACCGTACGACGAAGCAGGAGCAACACCCGTGCGAATGACCTGTGAGAGACCTTTATTGGCCTCTTTATTCGGAGCTCGGGACTTAAACCTGCCGATCTTTTTCACTCGCAGCTTCATTCCCCAGAGGCGGGACCGCTGTTTTACACGCGCACGAGCAGCAGAGCGCTTGGCACCAGCACTGTCATCTACGCCAAGATATGTGACCGATTGCTTCGCAACCTTGGGCTCAAGCCCTAGGCCACACACGACGTCGCGTGCAAGTGAAATATCGCTGGCAACAACAGCAACTTTATCATTAACTGCTGCATTTATCTGCCTGCTCGCGTGATAAAAGGCACGACCTGCATCGACTGCTAATTGCACCGCACTCTGTCTCTGGCCACAGGAAATCTGAATGCCCGAGTCATCAATATACGATGTGAAATTGACTAGTGTCGGCTGGCTAGCAACAAACTGATCGAAAGACTTCACAGCATGCACCTTGATGCTGATATCATTGAAGCAATCGCCTGCAGGTAACCCGAATTCGGCATGTGCGACCCCTTCAGAGTGGTGCTGTCTGAGACGTAGCACTCGAGGAGCCCTCCATACATTGAAAACGAGTTTCAAAAATGCAGTGGGTACTTTAAACGCAAGAAACTTGTCCCGAAGTTCCACAAGGGGGATCGTTTCGTAATATTTCGAATAGTCGGCGATAATGAGCACACTGTAGCGGCGCGAGACTACGTCAGCCTCAGCTCGCGCTGCCTGTGCCCAGGCACAGTCCACAGAACTCCTCCCCCGACTAGCCCCCCAGTACCCACGCTCCACCTCCTCCATAAGCGATCCTAGCATAGGCCGCCGCAGCCTTTGCCAGATGCGATACATACCGCTGTAAAGCACTATGAGCCTATGCCCAGACGACGGTTTAGGCAGCATTGGCATGAGCACCCACAGCAACTGCTTAGGTAAGAGGCCGATCGCCTCGCAACACTGCCACAAACCTGCTAGCAAATCTAATCCGTCGTCGTCGAGCAACAAGAAATGCCTCGGATGAAATTGATCCAAGGACCTAGCGGTAGATTCCGAAAAACTCTGGATCACCTTACGAACCTCACTCGGAGCCGCCCTCGGGAAACTGGACCGATCGGGAATCCAGGCAACCGGTGGGGAGGCGGTTGCTCGCCAGAGCTTGCGATAAATCTGCAGCTCATGCTGCACGACACTGTGGGGATCAGCACTGGGGCCTTTAGGGTCATGCACAACCGTAGGCAAAACAACACTCCGAACCTTCGTGACCCTATGAAGGCCCCGCGCTCCCCCCATGCTGGCAGTCTTGCACCAATCACTCCAGCTGGTCTGGATCTCTTTTGATGCACCTTTGACGGCCACAGAGAAGTCCTCAGCAATGTCTTCGAGTAATTCTTCCACATTCTCACGAAAGAACTCAGAACACAGCATCTTGCGGGCCTTCTGAACCGAATTATCTAAACGAGCGCTCAAACCGAGCCCTGGATAGTCATTATCACGAAAAACCGCCAGCTCGGCAAGCATCGTTTGCTGTGTATGCTCATTCATGTCATCTAAATCAGCTAACTGGCCTAGGTGTTGGACTGCGTTGCGAAGCCACTGCCACCCATCAGCTATTAAACATTTTTCAGTGTCGTCTGGCACGGGATATTCCACATTGACCCAGCGCGGTGCAACTTGGCGCCCGAAACTGCCGAAGGTATCTTTCGCGCCCCCAGTGCAAGTACTGATATGCCGTGCAGCGATCTGGGCAAACTTGCCCCAACTTGTGCTAAGCAAGTGATGCACTACCCCTGGATCGGTCTTCTCATCCCCCGCCATCTCGACACAGCGCTCCACCAAACCCCTCGCAGGACCCCAATCTGGCGGCGAGGGTTGAGGACCGAAAGGGGGGAAATAGGAAGAGCAGGGGCAACAGTATACACTAGATGCTGCACTCGATATCCCTGACTGGCTATAGCGAGCTGCACGGGTCTATGGGGCCTGATCGCCCATCGCGCGTCTAGCTTAACATGTTTATACGCACGCATGCACGGACCATTCAACCCGAAAAAATCAATAATCGAGCTACCCGTACCACCTCGACAAGTGTATAGCTTAGTAGAGACGAGGGTGAGACGAGCAAAACTACAGAAACCTGAAGCCTCGACCTCGTCAGGAGACATATTCCAATCACCCCCAACTATACAGGGACCGTCAATACTCTCAACTACTGCACCTGCTGCTGCCATCAACTTGGCGTTCTTGCCCTGAGGGCCTAAGCTGGGATACAGGTACATATTTATAAGATGTAGGGTAGGCCACCCTGGAAGATCAAGTTGCACGTGCTGCACGCGATGCTCACACACCTGATGCACACCGAGCTGTGGCGCGCGCACACCGCACTCACTGCGCACGAAAACAGCCACACCTGCACTGGGCACGTTGCCTGCTGAGGGACAGGAAGGCAACGCCATAAGACTCCATCCTCGCACTTGTGCCCAACTCTGAATGGCTTCAACCTGATCGGCCACGTGACCAAACTCTTGCACAATCACGACTAACGCTCGAGTGACTTTGAGCCGCTTCTTGAGCGTACTCTTGCCTCCACTGCAATTGAACGTTTCAATGACATGCTCACCAGCGATCTGCCCTACTTCAGGATGCGAGGGAGGAAACGCAGCTGGTCTGAAACCTGTCACTAGAGGCAAGAGGAAACCGTTCGCATCATATCTGTCCTGTTGAGCACAAGCTCCCTGGGCTGGGCGCGCAGACATCGTCGCAGCGCCCTCAGAAGTCGGTCTGACAGGGGAGGCGCGGCTGGCGCACTCGCTCCCCTCGCCGCCAGGAGGACGCTCAGCATCTGCAGCGCCAACAACATTGGTCCTCGATGATCGAAGGGAGTGCTGGCTGACCACTACCCCCTCCGACGTAGTACAACCATCATGCGCAAGGAGGTCACCATCACCCCAAACGCGCACGCTTAGCCGAGTAGAGCTCCTCCAACTTGGCAGTGAAATCCTCGAAGCTGTTGGAATGGGCCCACAGGTTCTTCCGCTCTTCCTCCGAGAGTTCACTGAGTTCATTGTTACGCTTTTGACTGGCTGCATCATTGCCTCGTGCGGCGCTAGCTGCGCCGTCATCTGCACCAGGTTGGGCTGCTCCACCGCCGCCACCATCACGTTGACCATCACCAGGAGGCGCAACACCCATGCCAGCATCAGGTTCGCCCTCCTTGGGCAGGACGCGGATGTGCTCCTGCAGCTTCTTCCAGAGATCGCTGTTGAGGAAAGCCTCAGCCTCTGGATTCTCAGCCTTGAAGGTGTCGACGTCAAGGAGCAACACTGAGCCTGGTTCTGCTTTTCCTTGCTCGCCTCCTTCTCCACGTTCACCCTTCTGTGATACCAGCTGGGCAGTCCTGTCGAACTCCGTCTGCAAGACCACCAGCTGCTCCTTCTTTGCCACCAACGACTGCTCGCGCTCCTCGATGGATACACGCAACTTCTCGTACTGCTCACGCTTGTCAACCAGATCCTTCGACATCTGCTCGATCGCCGCCTTCGCCTTGCTGAGCTCCTGGGCTGCACGCCTATGAGCTGTCTGAGGCGGCCGCATCTGCTTCTGCTGGTCGCGCAAGCTGGACAACTTCTTCTCCATGCTCTCCCGTATGTCTTTGAACTCATCATCCTTGGCCATAGACTTGATGGAGGCCTCCAGCTCTTGGACCTGAACCGCAACTTTAGCTCGTCGCCCTTCATCAGTGTCTGGAGCTGCCTCCGCCGTCTCAGCCGCCTTATGCTGTGCCTCACGTTGCCACGGTGGAACTTGAGGTACGGTACTCGTGGTACTCGTACTGGTACTCTTTGCCAGCGATGCCACGAGGGAGTCAAGCTTCTTTTCCAGCGCGCCGAGCTTGTCTCCTTTGCCACCGCCTTTCTGTGGCTTGTCGCCACCTTTCCCTTTACCACGGGCTTTGCCACCACCGCTCTCGAGCTGCTGCAACACGACTTTGTGGGCAGTGACTGCACGTGCACGAATGTGGGCTGGTGCCGAGCGCCCGCACTCGCACTTGATCCTCGACGCCCAGTTGTGCAGACGCGTGCACGAGCCACACGCCCACTCTGGCTTGCGTGGGCCGAGCAGAACATCCCACTCCTTGTCATCAAGAGCGGGGGCCATCCGCTGACCACACTCAGACGAAAGAAATAGCTCCTGCAGGAGCTCACTGCTGAAAGCTTGGCCGAGGCAGCCAGGCCTTGGGAAGGGGCTGCCCTTCCACCTCGGCCTCGAGCCTCTGGAGTCGGGACGGGAGGTAAGCTCCGTCTTGAGCCAAAATGGCTACGGAGGGGAAGAGGAGGGAGGAGGAGGGAGGAGGAGGAGGAGGTTGAGGAGGAGGAGGAGGAGGAGGAGCACCTCCCCATCCTCCCTTCTCCCCCGCCCTACCTATCGTGGTGGTGGAAAGCTGGCCCATCAGGAACTGTTGCACAGCGGGCTGCGGTGGCGGCCCTGGCGACACGCCGCGCCTTGCAAGCGGATAGCGTGTCGCTCCGCTCCGCGGGGCGGGGCGGAGCGCTCGGAAGGGCTCGGGACGCTGGCGCTCGGAAACGGGGACGTGGATAGCGCGTCGCGCCACAGCGTGGTGGGCCAGAGCCCACGGCGCGGCGCGCTGAGCCAACGTTCCTGACCGTGTGTCTCGTGTGCCCACGTCTGCTGCCGCGGAGTCGTGCTCTGGGGGCGCGGGGAGCGGCTCACATGGAGATCTGCCCGCCCAGGCGGGCGGGCAAGTGTCCATATTCACCACACCTCGAGCTCCCAGGGCATGACTCCGACGCAGAGGATGTGGCCACACTCTGAAGGTGGGCTCCTGCTCCTGTGCGCCACTGGGCGAGCCCACGGTGCTCATCCAGCGCCCTTCCAGGATGCTGTCCAGCAGGACAATGGTGTCTCTCTCCTCCGCGGGACCCCCGAAGCTGCCAGATGCGGTCGCGGCGTGCTTCAGGGACTTCATCATGATCCTGGCCACCGCCAGCAGCGGCACGGACAGCAGCATGCCCGGCACGCCCCAGACCTGATAGAAAAACCAGATGCCCAGGATCACGATCACCGAATGGATCTCCACGGAGATGCCGAAGAAGACCGGCTCCACGAGGAAGTCCACACAGAAGTGCACGCACGCCTGGCACGCGAAGGCCAGGCAGACCTGCGTCGGAGTCTTCCGCACGTCAATGATGGCCAGGATGCACGGCAGCGCCGCGGCAACGGGGGAGCCGATGCCGGGCAGGAAGTTGGCCAGGAAGGCCAGGAGGCCGAACGCGGCGGGCAGATCGAGCCCACTGGCCCAGAGGGTGATGGCCACGGAGAAGCCGGTGAGGGCGGAGATGAGGCACTTCACCTTCATGTAGCGCGCGGTGGACTCGAAGGCATCTTTGGAAAGCGTGCTGCTCTCCATCTTGATGGGGCTCCACAGCATATAGATGAGGAAGATGAAGGTGACGATCGCCTGCAGTGCCGCATAGAGCACGCTCTCGGTCACAACAGTGCCGATATCCTGGACCTCTGCAACCAGCCCGTCGAGGAGCTTGTTGTAGTCGAGCGCCTCGATGTGCATAGAGTGAATGTACGTTCGAAACCACCTCTTCAGTCGGTCGGCGCCCTCCTGGTAGAACTTGATGTTGTTCGAGATCGTCACACCCGCTCTGACGAACACCCTGGCAGTAAGCCACAGCGAGCGCCCTGTGAAGAGAATGCAGAGGAGGATGGATAGAGAACCAAGGACTACATAAACATAGAATTTGGAGGTCCGCTGGGTTTTCTTGGATTTCCGCTGGGCTGAGCGGCAACGTTAAGGGAGGGAACTGGCTCAGAGGGGAACATCGAGCTTGAGTCGGCGATACATCGCCAATGTATCGACGGTACGCCCCCGATAGCAAGACCGAAAGGTCCTGAGCGGGACGGGCTATCGAACTCCTGTCGGCGATCAATGGGCTTTGGAGGTCGATGCATAGGCCTCTGAGCCTACTATCGCATCCTGACGTTGCCCCTGATAGGCCACCACCCTCTCATTCACCCCTTCCCCGGCGGTGTGCGGAGTGGCGTCCAGCGACTAGCAAACAAACCCGCATGGACGCCCAAAAGTTTCTGTCTACGCCATTTCGTTGGTTCTCTGATGGAGATCGCCAGCAGCGCCTTCTTGACGAACGGCGCCGGCTCCGCCACCTGCTCCGCGTTCTGCGCCGAGGGGGAGTCCTCCGGGGGCGAGTCCTGCGAGAGCCGTCCGTACAGGTTGGCGGTCATGGCGGTGCCCTCCCTCCCGCCCTCCCTGCGTTGGACAAGCGCGCGCTACTACTCGCAAAACAACTATTCACGCATAACCTAGATCCACCGCAGGCGATTTACGATCCATTACATTCAGACGTTTGCGAGTAGGCTCTTTGCGTGTAGCGGAACGCGCTCGGTGATGCGCCCGCCCTCATCCATCTCAGCGCAGCTCGTGGGAGGTTTGGGGGGCAAGCTCAGGAGGTCCGTCTCATCCAGATCATTGAGCTACCAAGCTTGAGTACACCAGATGTGGCTGGGACTGTCCACGCGGAGCCATGCTCAGTGGCAAACATTCAGATGCAGATGACTAGCACATGGAGGCACACTTGGCGACCAAACCACAGAGGCCGATGAGTAATTCAGCCAGCCAGGAGTTGCACACTAATCCATATCCAACCATACTACTACTACGACTGCTCCTACTACTACTACTACTACTGCTACTACTACTACTACTACTACTACTAACGGACTTAATAACTACTACTACTAACTACTACTACTACTACTACTACTGCTACTACTACTACTACTACTACTACTACTACTAGTACTACTACTACTACTA